TTGGACCATATCTCCCTGTCTCCAGATTACAGTATGAAATCTCCTGCATAATTGTCAAAGTTTGCTATTTCTTGTAGACTCGACATTCTGACTATAAAATTTCAAATATTTTGCATTATGTAAGCTTTTCTAATGTTATCACCGAACGTTTCCTCATAAACTCTGGTATACTATTGTGATGTAATAATAATGTGATTGGTGAGAAGTAAACCAATCAGGTCAAATGTTACAGTGCCAACAACATCTTTTTCATGCATTTTGTGACAGTCACCACAAATTCGGGACAATCAGAGTCAACAAGTATTTCTTGTACAAATGACACTATGTCCCGTGCGTTACGACATCGTCTATCATCCCTTCCCTACCAATTCTCAATAAATTATTTGAAGACGTAGGGGGTTGACAGCCCTGGTACAGTGCAAAATGACAAAAAAGCAACAAAAAAACATTCAGACATGTTGATACAGGTTGTAATAACTGAAAAAAAAAAATTGGGGCATATGCCTGTTGTGGTTACCCCATTAACTCATCATAATGCATAAAAAAATTGAACCAAGAACAAAATTGAATCACAATGCACTAATAAAACTGCAAAAGTGTGAGTTGCAGTATTTACAGCTGTAGGAATGTAATATTTTTAAGTGTCTTACTAGGATGAAATTAATTTTGGGTTAAATTTTACCTTAGGTAGATTCTCCATTTCCTAATGGGTAACCCTATGTTTACCAGACAAAGGAAACTGAGAATCTAACTACAGTCATGGACAAAAGTGTTGGGACAGTCGTACAGTTCAAACGCTTTTTAACACACGCAAAATTGTATCCATGCACTACTAACACTGTACATCCTTACCCCCTCCCCCCACCCCAACAGACAGTGTTGAAACCGTCAAGGCACAGTTCCTTTGATCTCTCAACATTGCATTGAGTGAGGAAGGGGGAGGGGACATGGATTTGTAATAAAAATGACTTCACTGCTTTTTACAACATTACTTGTGAAACGCATAGAATTGAAGTTATGCTATGACTGTCCCAAGGAATTTTGTCCATGATCGTAGGTTTAAAATAATATTTTAACCTGAATTAATATTATGACCCATAATAACATTAAACAGTGGTATGTATACCAGTAATTTGTCATGGCCATGCCATTTAAAGTCTAAGTGGAATTCCAGGCCTCTTTTTTATACTTAGCAAGTTCATTAGAAGCATAATTTCAGTGGAGAAGAGAAGTGTGTTATGGTTGCAGCACTAGTCTATACACGTAATCATATTATTCAGCTCACCTCAGCCTGTAAATTTTTGGCAGCCATGTCATCATTTTCTTTATTAACTCTTGCAGCATCCTCTCTTTGTTCTAGATCTACAAAACACAAAAGAATAAGTTTGTAAGAATGGTGTAGAAAACAAAAGTTTTAAAAAATTAAAATAAAACTCTGGTTCATTGCAAGGGTGGGGGGGCGAGTCTGGATTCCAATATGTCCAGTATGTCCCTAGTCTGAAATTCAAATATGGGCGTTTCACATTTTGAGGAGAAGGCCATGTCTCTGTCGATATTTAACCCATATTTATGTTGCCTTTTCATCTAGTCCTATGCTGCTGTTTCAAGACCATGTCACTTGTCAGAATTTTTTCCTAACAGGGCCTCATTTATCTATTCATTCATTTATGCTGGTCTATTTACAAAAGATGTAATACCCTGTTTTAACTTCTTTCTCTTAGCACCGGCCTAGCACCTCATATATCTATTCATTCATTTATGCTGGTCTATTTACAAAAGATGTAATACCTTGTTTTAACTTCTTTCTCTTAGCACCTAGCACCTCACTTATCTATTCATTCATTTAGCTGGTCTAATACAAAAGGTGTAATACCCTGCTTGAACTTCTTTCTCTTAGCATCTAGCGCCTGTGTGCGTAGTCTTGCTCGTTCTTTTGCCTTGAGAACAGCATCATAAGCAGCCTTAGCTTTTACATCAGTGAGCACCTCCAAAGCCTTGGACAGTTCATGAAACAGTTCAACTGCTGCTGGATCATCTGGATTCTTATCCGGATGGCATTTTAGAGCCTTTTTGCGATAAGCTTTCGTGATCTGTACAAAAATACATTAAAATCCATTTTAGTGCCTTTTTCCGATAAGCTTTATAATTAATTTTGTGATCTGTACAAAAACAAAGGGAAAAATAAATGAGCTCTTAAAACGTAATTAAATTCGAGCTTATTGAAAGTTTACTTCCACAATTTTATACATTGGCCTGGTCAATGGAAGCCAGGAAGTTGACAGTCGGAAATTTCAATAAAGACTGTATTTAGTTTATTGTGTCTTAGTGGATTAGGTATTTTCGCCGATGCCTCAGTGGACACAATCGTCCCTAAGACATAAACATGTCCATGGTAAATGCTTCTTTAAAAACATTAGAGTTGAGCTACGTTCATCGAACGCTTTTAATTACACTCTACCTAAAACTGTAATAGGCTCAGATTGATCAACAGGGACCGAAATTTGCCCTACCTAACATCAAAAATGTATCTCTGAACTTAATACGACCCATTAAAGTAATCATAACTAGCCAAACATACCTCTTTTTCGCTGCTGTCTCGCGACACACCAAGAATTTCATAGTAGGTAAGTTTGTCCGCCATATTGAATCTTCTTTATTTACATTTCGTGTACTTTTATATGAAGAATCCAAAATTACATTCCGCTGACAATTTTCTAGAAGTTCGTACCCAGTACTTTATCGTGAGTGAGTTGGTCAAAAACAAAATGGAGATTGTTCTCGACGAAGGGGTCCAATTTATTTTGACATTACAGAAGTCTTGGGATGGATGGGAAAAAGAGATGCTTTTCCTTTCAAAAGTTGGAGACCCTAGGAATTCCTTCCTGATCTATTTTCCTCTTGCGTACCATTTCAATCACAATTTAGGGGTTAGCGTTTTGTGGACAACAATCATCTCGGAGTGGCTGAATCTTATTTTGAAATGGTAAGATTATGGACACATTGGTTTTTTGCTCTGTTTAATCTACAGGTTGTTAAAAATTCCCAGTAAATTCATTAAAATCTTCCGGCTAAACATGACTGAAACATTTTAGGTTTAACTACATCAATAAGCCAGTAGGCCTTTTGCATTAGTTGATCACGTGATCAACTTTCGTTAAACACGAAAACAGTTCGCTTTTGAAAAATCTTGTTAGCATGAGCTGAAAGAGCATATGAAATTTAGGTTACCTGCAAATTTTCAGTTCGTGCTAACAAAATTTGTCGAAAGCGAACTGTTTTCGTGTTTATGGAAAGTTGATCACATGATCAACTAACGCAAAAGGCCTATTATGAGTAACCTAGCTTTTTAGTGAAAGCTAGGCTTGTGGTTGCTTTGTTTTGAGAGAAACTTCATGAAATATCTGTCAAAACAAGGTCACCTCCAGCTGTGGTTCCACCCAGGGCAAGAATGCTCAGTACACAACTGTAAAATAGCCTGTTACCTGAATAGTTCATGTGCCTTGTATTATAGGTTACTAAGAGGAGATAGGCCATATTGGTGGGTGCATGAGTCTGCTAAGTGGCAAAATGTGACCATTCAACAGTATGAACTGACTTGTGAGACTGGACCAGGTACAGAATTAACTAACAAGAACTGAAACTAACTTGCATGCGAGTATTTTTGGTTGATTAGCCGTTGATTAAGTTGCCTTTGTGCCTTAACAAAAATGAATTCAAAAGTACCCTGTGCTAGTTGTAAGAATTCCAGTTGTAATATCTAGTCCTAGTTTTGTTTCCCTCTGGGCATATAATATCAATATGATAATAATATTACCATTAATTTCCTTTTTTTTTCAGGATCTCCATCAGGCCATTCAATGATCACATCTGCTGTTCTCTGTTTGTTATTTTCCTGGCTATTAAATTCGCTAAGAGAAAACTTTTTATGCAACATGAGTATTTTAGGCAGATTGATTGTTACGCTGTCATTGTGGGCTGTCTTAATGATAATTCTTGTATTTGTCTCGGTGTCTAGAGTCTTCATAGCTACTCACTTTCCTCATCAAGTCATAATGGGAACAGTAATTGGACTTATTTTGGCATTAGTAGTGCAGAATTATAGGACAGTTCTTATAAACATGTCTGTTTCAGTGAGATATTGTGCCCTTTGTTCGTTGCTACTAGTTACAACAACCTTGGCATCTTATCTCTTTCTCTCATTTCTTGTCTACGACCCATCCATTTCAGTCACTAAAGCTCAGAAATGGTGCATAAAGCCATCTTACATCCACCTGGATACAACTCCATTTTATGCCATGGTTCGTGATTCAGGAGCGACTTTAGGATTAGGAATTTCTGTAGGAATTGTATCGTCAGCTGTAAGGGGAGGGAATTGGAGAAGGTTACATGTAGGTGTTGGTCAATTATCACTTCTTTCAGCAAGCCTCAAAGTCGTGCTATCAATTTTGCTGTTACAGCTATTAGAGGCCATATCTTTGCCAAAATCAAGTCCTTCACTATTTTATGTGGCTGGCTATGTTCGATGTGCATTCATTCCCATCATTGTCATTCTTATTGTCCCAATAATTGCAGTGTGGCAGTAAAGTAATGTAATGATAATTTATATTTTTGAAATAATGGAATGTCAGATAATAAAATTTTATGAATTTGAAGAATTGAGCGTTATTATTCTTTTTGTGGTTTTCATTTCTTTCAGTATTCACTCTTGTCCCATAACCTATTCCTTCTTTGCACATTGGATTCTTCCTAAGAGTCAAGCCAGCTACCTTCTTGGCCTGGGGGCTGGGAGAGGGGACTCCCACATGAATAGAATAAGGAATGAGAAAATTAGATTAGACACCGATTTGGGTGGGGTTGAGGCTTCATTTTAGCACTAACAGAGACATAAAAAAAAACTCCATAATAGCAAGATGTTGACATTGAATGCTGTCTTTGACATGTCAAGGAATAAGTGCGCTTGGTTTGTTTGACGTAGATATTATACTCAAAACCTTAAGGGTACAGGAGCTGATTACCCATACCCCTCCTGAGGGTAAAAATATTGCCTTTCTGTCCCATCTAAGCGAGACTAAAAATTAATGTGCAATTTGCACTCTCTTCCCCTAAGCAGGACGACAAACACACTGCCATCTCCTCCAGGCTTCTGGACCAAAATATTATATGATAGCCTAAAACTAGTATTTAACGATCGCCCACCCAAAAAGGTCCGCATTATTGCGTGACATTGTGTGCGTGACATCGTGCTTGCGCGGGAGGCTTGGATCGGAATGCCGTAATTTCGATCCAGTGCCTCGAGACGCCTTGAATGGTGTGTCGGTGCTCGTGAAATACATGCAAGCGATGGATGTAAGTAGCCCAAAAGCTTTCTTCATATCCATAGAAACCCTGCTCGAGAATTCACTGCTGTTTGTTTATACTGACACAGGGCCACACGGGTGATAATGAGCGTAAAAAACTGTGGGATGAATTAAGTAGAGGCATAGAACATTCACGTTTGATGGTTGTACATTTGACGAAAGGCAACGAAGGTGAGCTTGGACACGTTTTAAAGCTTTCGTTCCTTGACTATTAGTAATTAACTCTGATGAGTTTGGCAAAGAGAACTAAGATCCATCTATTATTCAGACCGTAGTCTCTTTTCCATTCATTCTCGAGGGTAGCGCTTTGTTTTTCATATGTGCGTGTCTTTGCGGTTTCAGAGAATGAAGTTCTATTTATAGAACTTATCTCTCATTAGAAGGCAAAAGCTTTGCATGGAATTGAACAGGCCAGCTTGCGATGATCTGATCTGATTGTGAGCGATATATAGTGTGCGTAAATTAAGGTTTCGATTTGATAATGACAATGAGTCTTTGTTGTTTAGAGTCTGAAAATCACTACACTTTTAATCCACTTAGATAATAATATTTTGCAATCCAAACAATTAGCATTTTTTACTAAAATTTATTGCGGAAGCTTTTAAATCATGCATTTATGAACAGAAATGAAAAACCATTTGTAAGTTAGAAATAGCTAATATATCATTGCCTCGACTCATTACAAACCTCAATCAAAATCATTAAAGACTCATTAAATCATTTTTTGTGGTGAAAATTGTTGGAGTCTTAATGTTTAAGTGTTTGCTGCCATTATGAATTTTGTGGCAAGTGCATAGCTTGAGTTTCAGCCATCTCTGTGAGTCACAAACTCCCTTGGGAGTTTGGGACTCTTTGAGAGTAGAAAGTTGGTGCCAAAGGCCTTTGCCGCATTCTCGTAAACAAAGGCACCATCTCAAGACTTGAGTTGACAGATTATGGTGGTTTGTAGTTTAGTACCCAGGTGTTGACCTTGTTTCATTGTGTTTGCTCGCCGGAGCAGAATGTGTGATCAACTAACAGTAAACCATAAAATGGCAAAAAGCAATAACTTGTTGTGTTTCATTGTCAGGCTTCGGTTTTAACATTCGTGGTGGAGTGGATCACCCTCATGTTGGCTCAGACCCAGGTATTTTCATAACCACAGTCAAGGCTGACAGTGTAGCAGGCCGAGATGGGAGACTGGATCCTGGCGACAGGATATTGGCAGTAAGCAACCATTTATTTTATAATTTTAAATCAGTTGTAGTTATAGTTACCATAAATGATCTAATGGATGCCCACCTTCAAATAAATGCCTCTTGTATGTTTCATCCCTCCTCTACAATGTTAAGTTTATATTGGATACCCCGAGCTCCGATAAACATCTCCTCAGGGTGCAAAGAAAGTCAGTTTTACAGCTTGCCATTTGGGCAAGCTGTAGTTAGCATGTACTAGCCTATTAAAGAGGCATTTTAACTGGCCCAAAAAATTTTTTTGACGAGCAGGATTGATTACAATAATTTAATATTCCCCCATAAAACTTTACTTGCCCATTAGGCAAGTTAAGAACAAAATCTACTAACCCAATAGCAAAATCCACTAGCCCTGGACTATCAGACACTACTTTCTTTGCATCCTGCCCCGTCTAATAGACACCCCCTATGACAATTACTCCAAAATACTAGGAGTTAGCAAAAAGGAGCAAAATCATTCAATTTATTCAGTTTTTTGACTGATTAACAAGGGGTCACATATTATATCTTGTTCAACGTCAAGTTAAAAGTAAGGATAGGCCAATGATGACAACAGATTGACACTGAATGATGATTCTGACATTTTGAGATTTGAAAGGGTGATATGGATCTCTAGACAGCCTAGAGATAGATAGATAGGTTGGATATTCCTCTATTTGTAAGCTCTCTTGATATTTTGGCCGAAAGCATATAAGTTTTGTTGAGCTGCTAACAGTTATGAGAATAAATGTCTCGCTCTATTAAATGCCTCCTATCTATTAAACGCCCCCTTTTGAACCCCTGAAATTGAAAAAAATGCCCCAGTGTCTATTAGATCAGCTATTATTCAGCCATCTTGACCCAACAAGAGGGCAATTCAACAATGCTAAACAGATTGACCATCCACCACAAACAGTGAATGTAAGTGGACAAAGCAGGCTGGGCTAATGTGGCCTTTTATAAAAAAAATTTTTTGCTCTTTCACAGCTAAACGATGTTAGACTAGATTATGTGACGCATGATGTGGCTGTCAATGAATTTCGCAAAGCAGATGAAACTGTCTCCTTACTGGTGGAAAAGAATGCTGAGGCTGTACTACTGGTCAGTAAACAAATCATGTAGTAGTTTCAATGTTTTTTTGGCTTTTTTGTTTTGTTTGTGTTTGTGTTTGTTTTTTTCACTTCTATATGGATATAATATTTCTAAAAGAATGTGTGCATCAAACTTCAGTTTAACCCTTTAAGTCCCAATATCCACATACAAATTCTCCAAACTGGACTTCATACATTTCCTTAGAGAATGAGTTAAGAGAATTTGGTAAAAGATCAAGGTATTTTCTCTTTGGTGATCATTTTATTAATTTTCATAACCTAATCTCTTAACAATGTATGGATAGTGTTAGGAGAATATTGATGTTGGACACCATTGGGACTTAAAGGGTTAAAAGGTAATATAAGGGCCTCTTTACATGGAGGTGGGGTCTTCAGGCACGTGAGGTAACCTGCTCTAGTGGGGTACAGGTGTACATATGTAAAAAAGTAATCTAATCAATTTTTCTACCATACTAACTCGAAATCCATGGGATAGTTAGTCTTTAAGGTATTTCCAATCAACGTAAACAAATTTCTAAATTGGACAAATTGGTTCTTTACTCCACAGTCACCGCGAAGCTCAGGACATGACTCACCAGATGTATCCTGGGAAGATGGGCCCATTAGGCTTAATCCTGTGAATGAAGAATCAGCTAAAAATGAACTCTTTGGTCTTTTGAGACGGTTTTATGAATCAGAACTAGGAGCTTTATCAATTGGGTTAGCTGTTGGTGGTCTAGCAGTGTTCGTTGCCCTTAGAATATATAAAGCCAGTAAATTGTGACAGTAATGACTAGTCAAAGGCTGTGCTTTAGCAGAGCCCGGTGGCCCATGGCACCTAACTTTTGTTCTCGGGCGACTAGCAAATCTTTGCTTTTTCATAGAAATCATATGCTGGGCACACTGGATTTCACAAGATCAGAGCACTGGGCTCCCTTTAATTTTTCTTAGAGCACAGCCTTGTAGACTGTCTGTACAAATATTATGCAAGGCCAGAAAGACAGGGCAAAGTCGAGGTTGTTATAAAAACCATACAGTTGAACCCCTCCACAATGGCCACCAAAAGTCAATGTATGGATTATTTGTTCACGGGGACAAAAGAAATGGTCATTGTAGGGAGGAGTTTACACCAACTTGTGATAGATATATTTAGGAGAGAGAAAACTTTTTATTGACATACATTACCATCTCAAGCAGTTCAAATCAGGTTTGTGTAAGATTGAGGCTATAAGTGAAGAAGTGTGTGGATTAAGTTAGTGATTCCTCTTCCTACTAGGTTTAACTACTCCCTTTGATTTTTAAGGTCATATACAGACCCTGTTAATACGGACACTGAGGGGGCCATATAAAGTGTCCGTATTAAGTGGGTTGAATTAATTTAGAGAGAAAAATGAAAGATTTATAACACGACATCTCGGGCCTCATCACTCCCTTATCAAGTGAGATGTGAATGATATTACAATCGCACAAATGCAAGAAAATGGATAATCGAGTCATTAACAGTCTGAAACGTCGTGTTATAAATCTTTCATTTTTCTTCTTGGTTGCTTGTTTTAACAAAACTCTGCTTATAAAATTATAATAATAATAATAATAATTATTATTATTATCTTTATTAGAATGGGGTATGGTTTTCCAGGAACTGATCAATTGGTTGAAGATTTTAGTCTAGACTAGAGGAACCAGGAATTGACACTCGAGAATAAAAATTGAAACCCACAGATTAAATTTTGCCTGCAACAACTTTAATAGCGAAGAAAGCATTGACTTTAGTAGTTTCAGGAAACGAGTGACTCTTGGATAGGGATGGAGTTTAGAAGTTAGTTTAAGCTAGTATAGGATGACAAGGGTTCTAGGGTCCCAGCAGCACATCCCCACCCAAAAATTCCTTATTATCCATCAGCTCATAGGCAGTAACTAGAAGAAAACCCTTTCCTGGCCATCATCATCATCAGTCCCTTTCATTTCTGATGGAACATAGGTCCTTCACTGATGCTCACCATCTGACTCTATATTGAGTAGTGATGTTTACTGTGTACTTCACACCACATAAGTCCTCTCTTCTCAAATCCTAGCATCCTTATGCATCTCCAAGTGTGTTGCCCCCCCCCATCAGTTCCATTCAAGAAGAGCTCTCTTGGCCACATGCTTGTCAAGTGTCTTGGCCAGTAAGTACAAAAAAGTCGCCAGCAAGTTTTCTCTTTCCTCAACCGGAAACTTTATGATAGACTTGAAACTACATGTAAGACTGTTTATTGAAAGAGCGTGTGAGTGTTATTGTTATTTTATTTTAAGTTTCTGTTGTACTTCACCATTTTATCCGAAGAGTTAACTGCAGTGGCATGTTGTGGAGTTCTAACTTTTTAGTCTGTGTTCTCAAACCTTATCAGCAGGCTGATTGTAACATTCAAATTCATGAAACGTCTTTTGGATTTGGATTTTCTTAAGGTGCTGGGAGAAAACGGTTCAACTTAGAGTAGATTTTTTTCCGTGCGTCAAAATTTGTTCTTTTCTCATTCTCTTGTAAGGAATTGTATTTTTAATTTAAGTTTTGTTTTAGAATTTACTCCCAAATCCATGATTCCCTGATGGTATAAGCACTTCACCAGAAAACACCATCCCAGTTCTGATTTTCTTGTAAATAATATTGTTTCATGCACAATGCAGGACACCCAACGACTGTTCTCTGTAAAATATCTGTTCGGAGAAGCAAATATTACCTTGCATTTTCTATTACTTAAGGATAACTAAAAATTTCTAGATGACAGTTTCATTCGTGTACAATTTTCGAAGCTTATGTAGTAAGTTAATTTTTTACATTTCACTGCCAAGGTTAGGCTGTTTTTCGTAAAAAAGGAAACCTAAAGGAATGAGAAAAATTCTTTCTTTAGTAATACGTTAAACTGCTCTTTGTAATTTCGAAAAGACTCGAGTTCCCCTGGATGACCGAACAGGTACAATTTTTGTAGCACCTCTTAGAATGCATTTCTAGAGATGTAAATTAAGTACCTAGCCTAAAAAGTGTTTTTAATGTATTTAGGAAGAAATTGTAGTTGGGTGCCCCTGGCAATGTTTGGTAGCCTGCAAATACAGCCATCTCCCCTTTTGTTCCTCGCCCCTAAGACATTTGGCAGGAGAGATGTTTGCACCTCAACCACAGAAATTCCACACTGAACGGTGAAATGTGCCTAGCGGTGAGGAGGGATGGCTGTATTCGCAGACTAAATGTTCAATATTTGTAGAACAGACAAGAGATTCCATAGAATTTAAGAGAATTCATAATATTTTGAGAATAAAGAGGCAGACACTTATTATCGGTGTCTAGTGTGCTTAATTTTTCCTTCACAGAAACTAAACTATATGAACATCGATTCCTCTTTTCCCTCTTACAGTAGTTGTATGATCTCTTTTAATTAATTTTTTCTTCAGGCGCGGATCCACACCGCGTTTCCACCGTTTTACGAAAATCGGCCAGACTTTTCGTAATAGTTAAATTTTAAATCAATGAAAAAAACTTTCCAAGTTGCAAGGCTTCATTCAAGGTGAATTATCCTGTCTGAAGGCTCGAAACCCGGGAAAGGGGAATTAGGGAGTTCAAATCTGAAAAAATTTCCCGGGGGAGCATGCCCCCGGACCCACCTAGAAGCTTGCGCCCTCGGCGCTCCTTTAGGAAATCGCTCAGTATTTATCCTAGATCCGCGCCTGTTCTTAACTTATTTTGTGGTGAGACGGGGACGTTTTCTTTCCTGGAAAAAAAATGATAATGTTTATTTCAACCAAGGGAGGAATTCTTCGGGCGTTTGCCTGGATATGTAAATTTAAGTAAAGTTATTTTCAGAGGTTGTAATTAAGTGACGTCAGCACATTTGTACCGATTGTTTAAAACGTCATCAAGTCCACGCACGACTGCCTCAAAGCAAACAATGCAGAATATTGTAATGGTGAATGTTGACTTCTCTCTTGACAACACTGATTAAAAGTTTGCGGACCTGTCGGGAAATCAACTTCCGATTAATTTCAAGACTTGGTCTTAAAATACGTTTGGTGAAATTCACATGACCCAAGGGCTAGACTGGGTGCTTCCTTCTCTGTCACTTGTTACAACATGAAGGGTTGAAAGAATGCATGACATAACTTAAGGTTCAAGTTGTAAGCTGGGGCTAAAGCCAAATTACGCCAGTAACCTTTTCGTGTGAAACGCTTATCGTTGTTAAAGAACTTGCTCTCTCGTCGATGGGAAAACTCGACAGGTAAAGCATTTTTGCCATTTCCATTTTTTTAAAAAGCCATTTTCAATTCTTCCGACTTACAGACCCTTATACAGAAAAAGCAAAACGTCCAGTACGTAAATCTTTCTCATGTCAATGCAGAGTTAGGCTTTAGTACGAACTTTTTTGTCTTTTCTTAACAAGAAAGCTGTCACGAGCTGACCTATTTTTATGAACAGTCCGTTGAGCGGAACGCGAGACAAGAAAATGGCCCGGGGGGGGGGGGGGAGGCGGGCACTTTAGGAATTTCTGGGTGGGGATGTGCCGCTGGGACCCTGGAACCCTTGACCTATACCACAGCTAGTTCAGCTGAATTTTGCTACCCTATACTAGAGTAAACTCCCAAAATCCCCCTATCCTAGAGTAGCTGTTTCCCCAGTCTAGATAAAATCTTCAACCAACTGATCAGTTTCCTGAAAAATGATACCCTATTCTAGACCCAAACGCTCTGATTTATAAACCCTATCATAGAGTAAACTGTCTGAAAACCATACCCTTCACAGCGGCACATACCTATATAGCCCATATATGGCAGTACCCCCCGGAGGAAATGGCCACTTGCGCAACCAGTCACTTCGACTCCACTAGTTCTGACTTTCGAACTGAAGAAAAACTGCCCGCGCTCGGTCTCGAGGGTACAGTAAAACCCGCCACTAAACCTGGTATTTAAAAATTTGTTAGCCTAAAATTTGTCAGTTAAGCCCCCTCTAAACATGAACCTCTGTGGCCTAAATTCATTGAAACAGGTTCATAATTTTTGTAAAATCCATATACGAATTCTGTACAATTGGGCAAATATAAGAGAAGTCAACCTTCAGGATCCTCTTCGGAGACGTAAGTGCCTGCAAGGAATGTAATGGTATGCAGATTTTATATATGGAATATTAATCTGAATACCACTAAATGCTCTTACGTAGCTACAACGTATTTTTTTTCTTCTGAAATTAAGAACCTAGATAGCCTAAATTTATGCTAATTACCATTTACGTAAGAGCCTCTTTACGCTGACTTAGGAAAATGTCCTGAAATGTAGGTTCTTAGTCGCGGGTTTTTATTGCATGTCTACTCTATAACGGGCAGCTTTTTTCTGTCGATTTGAAAATTCGAAAAAGCTATCTCGTACAGTATTGCACAGGCAATTGGCACAGAGCTGGAACAAGTCTTTCCCATGCGTAGCAGTCGGTGCACGAAGTCCCAATCCTCATACCTGAATATTTACTCCCGTCTCAGTGGGTTCCAATCCTCTTTCTAACTTATTTACTTCCACTGCTGTCTGAACACCTGTCCACAATACGATGAACTGGTGGCAGAAACCTATCCAATAAGAGACTATGCACTTTCAAGACCTGCCCAGCGCAGCTTCGCTTCGTTGCAGAAATCGCCGATATTTTTTGTATCAATAGTCATTATCATAAATTATATTAACGATTATTTGTACTTCTTTCGCTTCACAGAATGTAGTGACAATAGCTCCTCTAGATCTCAAACCCTAAAAAATGATCACTGGTGCAAATCTTGGTTGTTTCAGTTTTAACCGGAAGCGTCGCTAAAACAAGGAAATCAATAGCCTGCATGCAAAGCAGGCGTGTTTTGGAGCGGGATCCATGAATTGTTTTCAGGAATGACATTGTTCCGCCATCTTGGACGTTAGTACTACCAGAGAGTTGGGACGAGTCAAAAAGCGATTTTAAGGGAGAGGTAGATGGGTTTGAAATAGGGGAGGGGGAGGGGAGGGGAGGAAAATATCCCCCCTTACACCGCCCCTCCCCCTTACTCTTTTTCGTTGCTTTTCAAGATGGCGGCCACGATCAATGTACCTCCGAGCTTTCGTGCCTCCGAGCTTTCGTTAAAAAAGGAAATCAATTGAAAAAATCAATTGAAGCGGTAAGGTCCTGTCCGGGGGGAGGAGGGGGGGGTACTCAACAACGTTTTATACGGGGAAGCTCCGCCCTGAGGTCTAACCCCTTACCCTTTTATAAACCATTTTTGACAGAAAAGGATACCCCTTTTATATACCCTCTATTGACAAATGGTACCTCTTTCACATACCCAGTATAAAATTTTGCATCCCCTTTAACTTCTGTAAATGCTGTCTTTAAAATATGAATGAGTCACAAAACCAGATTGTTTTCCCGACTTTTTCATAGCCTGTTCCAGGAGTTCACATAGTCGAGCGCGAAGGTCAGTCAGGGGAGCGAGTTAAATTCCCGGGGGGGGGGGCACTTTAGGAAATTCTGGGTGGGGATGTGCTGCTGGGACCCTGGAACCCTTGACCTATACCAGAGCTAGTTCAGCTGAATTTTGCTACCCTATACTAGAGTAAACTCCCAAAATCCCAAAAATGATACCCTATTCTAGACCCAAACGCTCTGATTTATATAACCTACCCTAGAGTAAACTGCTTGAAAACCATACCCTTCACAGCGGCACATACCCATATAGCCCATATATGGCAGTACCCCCGGGGGTTAAATTGCCTACTATCTGAACCCCCGGAACAGGCTAACCTGTTCACAGCCATAAAATGCATCTGCGAGGAGCATTGCGTGACGCCACAAAAAACGGCTGTTTAGCAGAGTACCCTTTTGGACCTTTTTACCGACGAAATGACAGATTTCCTTACCCTTTCTTATACTTCAACAAGTGAAATCCCCACCCTTTCATATACCTGAAGCTTAAAAAAGGTACCCATTTCAGGCAAAGCCTCCTTGTATAGGCCATTAAACGGAGTATCCCCCCCCACCTCCTGGCTTGGGTCACGCACAGTTCAAAAGAATTCGTTTTCCACCATGCAATCGACAGGCACTTTTGCCCATTTTTTAACTTTCCCTCTTCTGATTTGTTTTTCCCATGAGTTAAAACTTGATCACAAGAGGCTCTACGAATTTGATCACATCAGAAGTCACGCATCTTCGAACGTACAAGCTCAAGCAGTTAGAGACCTTATATCTCGACTACTACCTGAACATTCTTCGAAGTTCGATATCGTCGTCCAGCTTCCCTTGAGATCGCCACATATGGACGAATTTGAGTACAAAACCACTGCAGAATCTAAGCTACAGATAAAGGGAACAAGCGGTGTAGCGTGTTCTCTAGGTCTGCAATATTTCTTGAAGAATCATTGTCAGGGGCACATTTCGTGGAGTGGAGACCAGTTAAAGATGCCTGAACCCTTCCCTGTTGTGAAGGACGTGTTAAGGATAAGGCTGCCGTACAGGTATTTTCTTAATTCAGTTATTGGACTACAAATAGCACATTTGTCGGGACCCAAACGTCAAACCGGAGTCCGGTATCCGGAACATTGTTTACGATAAGGTTAGAGGAATACGAATTCACTCGGAAAATATGAGACAGCTGCAATTCAAAAGTTGAATCCTGGGTTGAAATATACGGCGCTGTTTTGGGGTCACAATTAGTGATACATTTTACATGGCGAATTAAAATAACCCATACATTTTCATGGCGAATTAAAATAACCCATACATTTTACCTGGCGAATTAAAATAACCTATACATTTTACCTGGCGAATTAAAATAACCTATACATTTTACATGGCGAATTAAGTAACGCATGCATTTTACATGGCGAATTAAGTGAAGCATGCATTTTACATGGCGAAATATGCAAGGCCTGATACATCTGCACGACGTATGAATGCTTGACAGTAGCCGACATTTTACTTGGTTATGAAATAAAATTTACTTAAAATTTTATTAGTATTGCATTTTAAATACACGAGAGTCGTATTTATTTTGAATTAATGGCGAAAAATCCGATAAACTATCGTTTTTGAATCGGAGAAATACTACCGTCTGATGGCCCCCAAAACCTCAGACCTCAGACCCCAAAACCTCATCTCTCCCCCTCGCCACCCCTTGTCTTGCGCGTCCGTCGGAAGTAGAAAGTCACGTGGTAAGTTACTGAGTCGCCTCCTCTCGTTAAGATCATGGAAGGTGATGGGCTCAGGGAATGAGCAAAGCGTTTAATGCAAGCTGCCGAGCAAATAAAAATTGGTCAGAATTCTCTAACAGCCAGAAATAATACGGGGTGAGGCGAGAAAGTGAACCGACTCAGACTGCAAATGGCCCAGAATGTCTCAATAGCACAACGTCACTGTCAGGTCTGCTCTCTCTGCTGCTGGAAGAAGTGCAGGAGACCTTGAAGGGCCTCAGAATACGGCTGGTCCAGCCTGGGAGGAGCACAGGAGAATTTTTGGTTATAGGCCGTCGTCTGGGGCATCATGGAGCCGGCCGGGTAGTGGAAACAGCAGAGGGAGAGGAAGAATGCAGCCAGCAGAATTCTCGCCATATTCCATCGCAAGAACACGTGGACGAGAGCGTTCGTCTGTCCGGCTTTCATCGAGCAAAAGGCGCTTCCTTCCACGAGCGAAAGAATCACCCTTGCACTAAACGGCCTTGGCGAGAAAAAGCTACTATTTCCATGCAACGGTAATGCAACTCAAGTCCAAGAAGTAATAATCGATGCCTTTCCCGCCCTTCAAACGGCTGGCGGCTACGAGGTACTTCGAACTGCCGATGGCAGGTCAAAGGACCTCATTTGCATCCCAACGCCTGTGGAATATCCGTAGCATTTTTGAAGAGCGTGCTGGGTCAATCCAAAGGCTTTCTGAGGCCTTTACAGAAAGATATTTTCATCCGTATCTGAAATTCACGCTTATCTTATTTCGCCATGTAAAATGAATGCGTTACTGTTAATGGAAGGTCCTTTCCATTTGATTTCTGACAGAGACGAGCGAACAAGCCAATCTCGATGCGCAGGAACAATTGCATTTTGATTGGTTTACGATTCTCTAATTCTGACTGCGACCCCGACAATCTGGTTTTCACTGCTGACTGTAAGCGACGGAATCATAAGAAGAGCCGGAAGAAAATGGATAAAGGTCTGATAAGTGTAACTACAATTCCATCGAGCTTAAGTCTCCCGACCGCTAGAGGCAAACTAGCCTCCCAAGCAGACTTCGTCTAGCCCCTAAGAACGTCTACGTGGGAGACTAGATGAAAAACAGCCTTTAGAACCCCCCGCCACCACCAACCACAAAATTTAGTTTATTTTCTAGCCACTAACCACGCTGCCGTAGCCACACACGGCCGGTTCAGCCAGCTACCTTTCTTTTGTCAGATTTCGTTACTACCAGAACGTGTGCACCTTCAGTTATTCATCTGTCTGGTGGAACTGGACTCGCTGGCGGCGAGAAATTGATTGGATGGCACTGAATGGCATCAATCTTCCACTTGCCTTCACTGGCCAAGAAGCAATATGGCAGAGGGTGTACCGCAAAATTGGACTCACACAGCAAGAACTAGATACTTTCTTTGGAGGTCCAGCCTTCTTGGCATGGTGAGATAAGATGTGATGATGATGATGATGACGATGATGGTGATGACGATGATGATCATGATGATGATGATGATCATGATCAGGAGAATGAGAATGAGAATGAGAATGCTGATGATGACAAAACGGTTGAAAGTCCTTTACTTTTGTTTTACTTCTTAATAGTGTCACTGGCCGAAAAGTGGCTGTTCAAATGGCACCAGTAAGAATAGCCTTCGAAAACAGCTGACTCTCCTCACCTTTTGCAGCAAGGGACCTTTCGAAGCGTCCCATTGCGTTGCGCAGATGGAAAACTTACCCTCCGCAGCACAATGGGGCAACAACGTGTCAGTAACATTGCACTTATTAACATATTGAAAAGGCATATGCCAACTCTGTAGTCAACAATGACATGGATCGTATCATTATTATCTTCGGCCGTCGTAATGGCAGAGGCAGCTATTTCTTTTATGTGCTTTTAAGCTCATATAAGTTTCTTTTCGACGGTTTCGTAAAAATTTGGGCAACTCGGGAGAGTTTTTTGGGCAAATGGTTCACCGCGCCCCCTGGCAAAAATTGCACGTACGCCTCTGAATGCACCAGAATAAATGCTTTCGAAATATATAAAACAACCTGTAAAACTGACTAAATGGATTGCAATTGGGTTTTTTGAAAACGAATCCTGTATTAAACAAACAGTTTTTCAAGTTTATCTCTGTGATAGTAAATGGTGAGGCATTTGTTCATCATTACGCTGTGATGGGCTGACAGCAGCGACTCTTGACAATACAAAACAAAATGCACTAGGCAGTCATGACAGCCACTTAAATTGAGATTTTTTTTGTTTTTTTTTTGGTGCAGTTACCTAATGAGCTCTTTTTGTTTAGGGCAAGAATGGGGAACATACGTGGGTGGGGAGGTCCTCTTCCACCATCGTGGTATAAGATCCAGCTTGATCTACAACGCAAGATTCTTACAGCGATGAGGAATCTTGGCATGGCTCCCGTTCTCCCTGGATTTGCTGGTTTTGTGCCGGATGGTCTGAAAAGAGTGTATCCACACGCAAAATTGTCCAGAGTTAGCCGCTGGGGTGGATTTAACAACACTTATTGCTGTACTTATCACCTTCACTCCACTGATCCCTTATTTAAGGTACTGGTAAACTATTCAGCGATTCGTGCCTTACCAGTAAAAAATTCATGTTGAGGATAATCCTACTGTTTCACAGTCTAGATCTATCTTGGATTGCCGCCTTTTCTCCTCCGTTTCCCGTCATCCTACCAATCCAAATAGTGCCTCTTTCATAGGGGGGAGAGGGAAAAAAAGCGGGAAACAAAGGACAGAAGGAGGAAAGGTTGTATGGGATGGAGACGCTAAACGCCATACCCTGGCCTGCAGCACGTCTTTGTATAGGTCAAATAAAGAAGTGCCTTTCCCCCACCTCTCAGCTTATTTAAATTTATCTTATTTCTTTGGCAACAGATTATAGGGTATCTCTTTATCAAAGAACAAATATCCCAATATGGCACCAATAACATATACAACACTGACACATTTAATGAGATGACTTCCACCCCCAATGAAGCCAGCTATCTTTCTGGGTTCAGCAATGGTATATACCAAGGAATGGTAGCCGGTGATCCTAATGCTGTGTGGCTTATGCAAGGGTGGCTTTTTAGGCGCATCGAATTTTGGAAGCCACCACAGGTCAAGGCATTCTTACAAGGTGGAGTATGTAGCTAAAAAGGGAGGGCAAAGGCTAGATAGCGTACTGTTAAGATAAAGGTGAAATGGGACAATATTACATTATGTCATGTACTGCTCGTGATTGCTTTGCCGTGATTTGAATCGTTTTAAATACGTCCTTTTCACAAATGAGCACCTTCTGTTTCAGTTTTAAGGCAGAGTTTGTTCAATTTTAATGTTCCTTTATACGTTTTATCAGCACAGTAGTACAACTAGATGCATAGAATTATACACAAAACAAAATAGAAAAATTGAACCATCTTAATCAAGGTCAACATTACTCCATCAGAGAAAATTACAATCTTTACATCATACAACAAAGTTTAATGGGAACTCCTTAGTTGAAATTATAAGCGAGATTGAACGATAACCCATTTATCAGGGGTTCGCGGTATCTCCTAATTTTGAAACATTGAACCGTATGAAAAAATGCAAATATGAATATCGAAAGTTCCTTTTACGACAAATCACAGAGAAGCGGTGAAGGTCTAGAGACCCTGTTGTCGGACTCTGCCAGTACATGTATACCCTCGACCGAGCAATCGTCTCGGCCCCTGCTTCTTGTTTCGTCGCCCAGTTATGTGCCGTCCTAGTAAAAAAATGTCGATGACATGACGATGATAAAGACGATGATGATACTGATCATGATGATGGTGATGATGATGATGATGATTATGATGATGACGATAATGATGATGATGAGGAGGAGGAGGAGGAGAAACGAGGAGGAGGAGGAGGAATAGGAGGAGGATTATGATGATGGTAATAAGTGCTTTTACTTCCTCATCTTGGTTTCGTCACTGAAATACTGAGATATTATTTTCTTCTGAGTTTCGATACTTTGTCACCTACATTCAGCATTATGCTTTTGTCATCATCAACATCATCATCATCATCATCATTATTGTCGTCATCAAATCAATGGAAAGCCAATAAGCTGTACAGCTTCTGAAAAACATTTGTGCACATTACTCTTTTCTTAGGAGTTCCTCGAGGACGTATGATTGTCCTAGATCTAGCGGCAGCTATCTACCCTTTCTGGTCGCGCACCGCATCGTTCTATGGTCAACCGTTTATTTGGTGTATGTTACAAAACTTTGGTGGAAATTTGGGTCTGTTTGGAACAATACAGAGCGTCATAGCAGGTAACGTACTTTATAATCAAGGAACACTGTCAGCTATTGTAATATGTTTGGGCAAGAGCCATAATATTATGGCTCTTGGTTTGGGAGAAGGTAAATTTTAACCAAAAGTTCAAGAAAATCTAAACCAAAATACATCCGTAAGGTTTTAAATTTTGCCATCTTTATCATGTAATTTGGCCGTTACAGTTAACTCCAAAATAAAGATTTGAAATGAGTACACCAATAAGTAAGTTAATTGATTCACGTATCGTTCCAGAATGCGATAAAGAATGAGCATGCAAAATGGAGCCTTAAACTTCTCGAGGTGACGAAAACGCACTGGAACACAACAAGACAGAAATCTAAAATGGAAGATCGTCCAAGATAGCGACAATGCATTTGAATTTATCAGCGAGTCACTGATTCGGGTCTATTTTGCCCCAATTTGTATGGCTGTCTCTGGTATTATGGCGGTAATTTTAAAAACGTTTCGAAATACAGTGAAACCTCTATTTAGCGGACACCTTCGGGACCTTCGTAACTGTCCGCTTAATAGAAGTTGTAAAAATTGCGCAATGTTTGTTAACGATCAACATTCAACGGTTACTCTGTACTGTGATAAATGAAGGAAGCTACCCAGAGTTCAAGTTCATGACCTTTCATTACCAACTTTAATTTGTTTGTAAATGCAAAAACATTAACTGACTTCAGTACGTATTTCAAGGACGTAATCCAATACTACTATTGTCAATTCAGTCCGTTGTTTTTAACAATAGAAATTAGCCAAATACAACTTATTTTAGTGTCCGCGTCCGCTTAATAGAGGTGTCCGCTGAATAGGGGTTCGTTATAAAGGGAAATATAAGACGTTAATTTCGCGACCCGGCTTAGTGTCCGCTTAATAGAGGGTGTCCGCTTAATTGGGGGTCCGCTTACTTATTAGGTAAATAGCCCTTCAAAGTTGATTGTCATTATGGCTCAGAAAATCTTAAAATCTTACCCTAAAATAGGAGGTGTTGGACATCCGATCTTGTTCTTTAATGCCCTTTCAAGTTGTATTTTGTTCTTCAGAAACAATCATATTACTTCTTCGTTGAAATCTATCGGGTGTTTTTGTTGACGTCATAATTATGTTGTTGTTATATTGTTTCAGGGCCAGTTGAAGCATTCAACAGCCCTAATAGTACAATGATTGGCACGGGCTTAACACCAGAAGGGATAGAGCAAAACGACATGATGTATGAGATGATGAACGAAATGGGTTATCGGACAAAAGCCCTGAATTCTGTGGAGTTAGAGGACTGGATAAAATACTATGCACTTCGAAGATATGGTGGTACTAACGATAACATAGTGAAGGCATGGAACTTGCTTATCCACTCGGTCTACAACTGCACGTATTACTGTATTGGTTACAATCACCAGTCGGTTTTCGTCAGGAGACCAACTCTCAGGATTGCTCCACATATATGGTACGAACCGGAAGATGTGTTTAAAGCGTGGGACGCATTGGTCGCGGTGGCTAAGGATTTTTCCCACTCGGAAACATTTAGGTAATTTATCGTAAGACCCTGCGTCGAAAATAACTTACAGTTTCTAAAATACTCAGAGGGAACCTTGTCACGCTGGGTATTTTTTCAAGCTGAGCGGCTTACAGATGCAGTGGGGGCGTGATAGGCACAAACATTTTTGGAATTTCCTTCCTTTAAAGGCATGTTACTGAAATTAATACAGGCAACAATACTTGGTTCCAGGAACATTTTGGACTAGGCATTTCTATGGGTACCAGTCACGTGACCCACTAGTGGCCAATTAAAACATCAAAACTCCAAAAAGTTTCTCCTTTAAAAGTATGTAACGCAATGCCCGGGGGAGGGGGGCACTCAAGGGAAGTTTGGGTAGAGGTGTGAAGCCGAGGCCTGCAAACCCCGACCCTGTTTAAGACAAAAACTTCTCATTTCGCTACCCTGTTTAAGACAGGAGACACCACTTTCTGCTTTCTGACCCTGATTTGTTTTGTTTTGCATACAGAATTAAGTAATTTTTCACACTAAAATATTGGAAATAGATATTAAGGAAAAAAATTATTTGTTTTGCAAATGTAGACCGCTTATCGAATGTCTTCACACTCTTTGAAAGGCTTCCAGTCCAAAAACACACCCTGTTCAAGATGCTTAATAGTGAAATTGTATACCCTGTTTAAGACTCAAGACCTTGAAAACCAAACCCTGTTCAGCGGCACATACCCGTATAGGCCAAACAACGTAATGCCCCCACCCACTTCCGGGGGCGCAAGTGAGAACACGTTACTATAATTCATTGGCCGCTCCCTATCTGATCCAGAGAAGATGATAAATATGCACACTTTTCCTTGTTTCTGCCTAATGAACTATTGATGAGTTTTTAAATTAATTTTTTTCTAGATATGACCTTGTTGACATCACAAGAGAAGCATTACACCTTCTAGTGATTCCGGTCTACCATGACCTTGTACGAGCCTACAACGCCAAGTCGGCTCTTCAAGTTGCTCAAATCGGTATCAAACTACTTACAATGTTCGATGACCTGGACAAAATACTTCAAACCAATAAGAAATTTCTTTTGGGATGCTGGCTGGACTCCGCCAAAGCCATGGGCACAACGGCAGAGGAGGTCAAGCTTTACGAGTATAATGCGCGCCTTCAGACCACTCTTTGGGGAACAACAGGGAGGATTAATGACTACGCCAACAAGATGTGGAGTGGCTTGGTAAAAGGCTATTACAAACAACGATGGAAGCTTTTCATCGAAGAGCTTGTGTTTGCTATTCGCCAGAAGGTGAAGTTGGATAATAATGAGTTCGCTAAAAGGTTACTTGAACGAGAGACTGCTTGGACGCAAGGTAGAGAAGAATATCCTTGCCGACCAGTGGAACACAGTGTTGAGGTGGCGAGGTTCCTGCATAGCAAGTACCGCTTATATTCACGTCGGAGAAGGATTGAGGTGGTTTGTATTAAGGAAGATTAGGACGACAGCTGCAAAGAACTTTAATATTTAAGGTATTTTATTTGGTTTGAATTATGGCAAAACAATAAACTTGAACTTGAACTTGATCCCGGAAACCAACCTCAAGAGTCGCTGAAGTCTACCTACAGTCTCTGCGATCCGTCGTTCAGTTGCAGCTATCGTTGGAATTGACGTCAAACAGTTGTGTCATTATTATTATTATTATTATTATTATTATTATTATTATTATTATTATTATTATTATCATCATTATTGGTACATATTTTTTATCTATTAAGGATGATAGGGAAACCAGCCTCGTAAATAAAGTGATAAAGAATGAGTTAACTATCTGAACGATTAAATGAAGCATTTTTAGGTCTGTGCCCTTTTTTGTCTGTTGCCAGTTGCCCCGTGACGTTGCCTGACTTACAGCAGGCAGAGGTAAAATGTGCGATCAAAAAACCTTCTTTCATGGTTGTTTTCAAGGTATAACTTTTTAATCATGTTAAAATGGGCAAGAATTTTTCTTCAGTTTAAGTAAAAAGATCAGAATTTTACAGAGACAAAGTGTCTCGATTCGTGTGCGGTACCGCAAATGATCCGACCGCAAATGATCCTCGACCGCAGATGATCCCTAATTTTGACCGCAAATGATCCCGTGAAAAGGTGAGGAATGGAATGGATTTTAGCCATTGATGAAGAACGGTGCTGAGTACTTGAACAACACGTATAAAGACAATAAAATAAATAAAAAAGATACATACTCGCACTACTTCTTTTGGCAATTAAAGTTTCGTCGCTGTAAAAATTGAAGACAGAAAGGACGTCAAGCAAGAAACTTGTCTTCTTAGAGGAGCTGAAATTGTCTGGAAATAGAAAGCCAGACACCTTGTACATAGCAGGAGCCTGATGGACAAATGAATTGTTTATTTTAAGAACATTTAATTTTATTTCTTTTCCGAAGTTTTAAAGTACACTTCAGAGACCATCACGGATCTATACGGGACCCTATATAGACAGAAGTCAAACTGCCGGAAGTACGGAAATACGTTACGACTTCTGATTATCACTCCGTGCCGGGTTTCAGTTAACGTTTCGAAATATATAGCAGCTACGTACAGCTCATGAAAATGTTGCGACTAGTCATGTGGACGCTGTCGACGCTAGCCTGTGTATTCATTCCTTGTGCCTTTGCCGCTGGAGAGAGTGACCAAGAAAATTAGAAAATAACAAACGAAAGAAACAACAAGTGGATATTATGGTGCTTGGGGTTCACAAGTGAGTGAATTATTCCAGTAAGTTTCTTTTTTCAGAGACTATAGCGGTTGCAGAAGTAAATATTTTCTCAAGTTGATATTTAGGGTCGCGGACAGTATCCGATAGATCGATTTGTGAAATTGCTTGAATAGTATGTTCAAGTTCTGTTCAGTTTAGATTAATGTTAACCAGTAATTAAGCAAGACACTACATTGCTTTTAGTTGTTTTTTTTTTTTTCAGGAAATTCCTTTTATGTATTTATTTGAGAGGCAAAATTTATTCAGTTTAATACTTTTTGTTTTGATTAAACTTGAGTCCAGGCCATTCCAATTTACCCCTTGGGATCATTTGCGCTCACCAATGGGGATCATTTGGTTCGAGGATCATTTGTGGCTCATTTGAGGGATCCTTTGGGGTCTGGGGATCATTTGCGGGAGTGATTCACCTCATACAAGCTAGGAGCCCGTGATCGCGAAGGCCTCCGGTTACCTGTCACGCATCGCCTTGCTCAATTACCATACTGGCTTGAAGTGAAAGCATCTCTAAAACAAGGAAGTTAACACGTATTGGTCATCGGGGCTTATGACGTACGTGTTGCGCATCAGTGACAGTTCCAGAGTTGCCTCCACTATACAAATAGAACGCGGGGCATACACATATCGTTGAAACTTCTCTTGCTAAGGTTTTTTTTTTCAAACTACATGCCAGGGTGGAAGATTGTTGGCGCTCTCGAGGAGATACAAATATCAGTGAGTCGGCGCAGAGCTATGTGTATAGCCTGGGTAGCAAGCGTTTCCTCGCGAGTTCGTCGAGAAAGTTGCAGGGACGAGAGCCAAAAAAAAGGAATGACGGGGGAGGGGGAGGGGAATGAAGTAAACTGTTTCCTCTTCTCCCCTCCTCCTCCCCTTTCCACCTTTTTTTTTGCTCCCGCTCTAACTTTCGCGCAATAACTCCGACGACTGGAAACGCTTGCTACGCAGGCTATATGTGTATCCCCTTCATTTTTGACTTTTATCTTCTTGCTAAAGGAAATATCGTCGATATCATCTAACACAACTAGTAACACAACCAACAATCAAACAACATGCAAAGATGGAATATTGTGGTGCTCGCAGGGGGGATACACATATCTCTGAACCGGCGCACAGATATGTGTATCCCCTGTTTTTTCTTCTCCTGCGAAAGGAAGTATCGTCGTATCATCTAAAAGAAATAGTAACACAACTAGGTTTAAGACAGGAATCAAACAACATGCAAAGGTGGAATATTGTGGCGCTCGCAGGGGGCGGGGGTAATACACATATCCCTGAACAACAACAACAACAACAACGAGCTTTATTTGCATGACCATACAAGCACATGCAGTTTTGCAAAAGCTATTTTTAAGAATCAAAATTACATCACGGAGCAATTACGTTACTTTGATAATAATTTGTCACGAACATCAAAACAAGCTAAAATATATTTTATGCACAGAGAGATGTGTATCCCCCGTTTTTTCCTTCCCTTGCTAAAGGAAGTATCGTCGTATCATCTAACAGAAATAGTAACACAACTAGGTTTAAGACAGGAATCATACAACATGAAAAGGTGGAATATTGTGACCCTCGCAGGGGGCAGGGGGGAATACACATATCACTGAACAACAACAACAACAACGAGCTTTATTTGCATGACCATACAAGCACATGCAGTATTGCAAAAGCTATTTTTAAGAATCAAAATTACATCACAGGGCAATTATGTTACTTTGATAATAACTTGGCACGAACATCAAAACAAGCTGAAATATATTTTATGCACAGAGATAATGTGTATCCCCTGTTTTTTCTTCTCGTGCTACAAGAAATATTGTCGATTTTTTTTATATCTAACACAACTAGAAACACAACTAAGGTTATATTGGAGGGATACACATATCACTAGGAATATTTGTACGGGGATACACATATCACTGGTCACTGTGACACCTGATCGTAGGATCCCAATTCATCATCTCAACGTGGATGTCTTGTTTGTTCGTCATTCTGAAATACGTTAACACATAACGATGTTAGATGTTGTTTTGACAATATATTAAATGAAAGTCAAGAGAAAATGGCGCCATAGAAATGTTTAAAATATGGAAAAATAAATGAAGTTTTCGCCGATCTTATTATAAGATACACTAGACAATTTGTAGAATATACAGTCACAACGATATACAGTAATATCTGCACAAAAGTATGAGCGAAGAAAGAGAAATATTTTCAGTTAAATGAAACAGCAAAATCAGGCAAAATGTAAATCAAGCGAGATAAAATTTTGCTTTGTATGAGTGAGGTTCTCAATCAATTAATCACGCTTTATTCACGGTATCACTTCATTAAAACTGCTCTTCCAGTCTGCTTCGAAGGAAAATTTCGGTTCATAGTCCGCATCTTTCTTCGCTACGTGTTCTTCTGGGGAGAAGGATAAATTCGATTTAATAGTACATGACCACAAGGTAGAGCGCACGACGAAACTCTTAAGTCGACAGGACTTTAAAAATCTTACCACTATTGAACGGATCGTCGCGGCATTGGTTTGACCTTGGTCCGGTTAACAGGCAAGCGAAAGAAAAACGTATAGCCTGGTATTTCTCGTCTTCAGGCTTTCCCTCTGACAGCTTCTTAACAATAGGATCCATAACGTTCTGTTTTCCCAGTGAGAATGGCGACTCACGGAAGGAACCAAAATTTAATCGCTGAGTACAAAGGAAAAATCCTAAGCTCGATTACCAGCCGCTGTTCGGGAAAATGAGCCCGCACTCATCCTCTTCGGGGGAGGATCAAAGACCGGACCCGGTGTCACAGTGATATGTGTATCCCCGTGATATGTGTATCCCCGTACACATATCCCTAGTGATATGTGTATCCCTCCAATATGGCTGCCAGTGAAATGTGTATCCCCTACCCCCCACCCCTCCAAACAAGTGTCGGTTTTTATTTCTGTTGTTTTTGTGAATTTTACGAATCATCGTCAAAGGGACTACAAATGATTCAACATTACGAGCAACACAATCGACAAAAGAGCAACGATTCGAGACAAAATAATCGCAAAGCTGTCTCTGGCGAGTTTACTTCTTCGTGGGCCGCAATGTTGATGTAAACATTCGTTCTCGCTCCTCTCCTTATCCAACGTGATTATAATTCATATGTCACTACTCGCGTTAAATAAGTATGACTGACAAAATTTCATTCAGCAAGGGATAACTCGAAAAGTAAAAAAATATAGAGGGGATACACATATCTCTGCGCCCGGTCAGTGATATGTGTATCCCTTTCTGCGAGCGCCACAATATTCCACCTTTGCATGTTGTTTGATTCCTGTCTTAACCCTAGTTGTGTCACTAGTTATGTTAGATGATATCGACGACATTTCCTTTAGCAAGAGAAGATATTTCCTTATTGCGACGTGGATGAGCATCAGTGTTTATTGTATCCCTACCCGGGATACACATATCACTAGGGATATGTGTATGGGGATACACATATCACGGGGATACACATATCACTGTGACACCGGGAGACGGCGGAAATCGAGCCTAGAAAAATCCCAGACAGATGAATGATCAAAACTGTGACTGTCGCTTCTAAGCGGTTTGTTTCATGTTGCGTGGGGGACTGTGGGGTGTTTTGCAGCCTCGTACCCAGGTCAGTTGGCGCTATCCGAGTTACCAGAGGAGGCTTGGAACCAAGTCCGATAGCGCGAATTTTTCCGACAAGCTTGACGGGTGACG